TTAAACAAGCTTCATATATTTTGATTATCAGATCAAAGATCAGCACACTTTTTGCGATACCATTGTTGTCTATGAATATCTTAACACCTCTATTGATTTTTCAGATTAAAGGTCAATGTGTTCCTGCTACAGTAAAACTTCATTATAAGGATATCAGAGTGATTTGTTTAGTTGTAAGAAATTAGTTATAAAATCTCCCACTCTTTCTATAATATGTCACTGAATGGGCTCCTTCATTTTAAAGAATTTTACAAGCAAATCATATACTGACTTTTAATCCTTCAAAACACAATATGTATATTAAATCTTGAGATTGAGATTCAGCCTTTTAGGATTTCAGACTCTCAGGCTTTCAATCTTTAAAAACTTTCAATCTTGAGGACTGAGTATTTTCATATTTATTTTGTAAGTCTTGTCTTTTATGTCATTACGATTGATCCATAGTAATTTAATTTTTTCATATTTGTAAAACCAGAGTGTGAAAGTATAGTGTTTGTGTAATCTTCTAAATGTTTATCCATAAATACTGCTTTTAATACAGTCAAATATAATTTGTGATAATCTTTATGAAAAAATGTTTTCATGTGTAAAGTTATGTGTAAATGTATGTGTAAAGTTAGCCTCACCCAACACCCAAGGGAGAGGGGAGGAGGGGTTGAACCCTTCTTTTTGTCCTTCCTTATGAAGACAGAGGTAAAGAAAGGAAAGGAAATTGGCATTGTTTATTTCAATTAATAAAAAATAAATAAATAAAAGGAAATGAAAAATTAATTTAATTCAATTTTATAATTTTTTTAAAAAAACAAATTTAATTCAATTTTATAATTTTTTTTAAACTTTTAAATTCAGGTTTCCTGGACAAAAAGAAGGGTTCAACCCCTCCTCCCCTCTCCCTTGGGTGTTGGGTGAGGCTAACTTTACACATACATTTACACATAACTTTACACATGAAAACATTTTTTCATAAAGATTATCACAAATTATATTTGACTGTATTAAAAGCAGTATTTATGGATAAACATTTAGAAGATTACACAAACACTATACTTTCACACTCTGGTTTTACAAATATGAAAAAGTTTAAATTACTAAGGATCAATCGTAATGACATAAAAGACAAGACTTACAAAATAAATATGAAAATACTCAGTCCTCAAGATTGAAAGTTTTTAAAGATTGAAAGCCTGAGAGTCTGAAATCCTAAAAGGCTGAAATCTCAATCTCAAGATTTAATATACATATTGTGTTTTGAAGGATTAAAAGTCAGTATATGATTTGCTTGTAAAATTCTTTAAAATGAAGGAGCCCATTCAGTGACATATTATAGAAAGAGTGGGAGATTTTATAACTAATTTCTTACAACTAAACAAATCACTCTGATATCCTTATAATGAAGTTTTACTGTAGCAGGAACACATTGACCTTTAATCTGAAAAATCAATAGAGGTGTTAAGATATTCATAGACAACAATGGTATCGCAAAAAGTGTGCTGATCTTTGATCTGATAATCAAAATATATGAAGCTTGTTTAATTAACCTATTCATGAAGTTTGATGAATATTAACCAAACTATTAAATATAGCAGATATCCTCCTCACTTTGACCTTTTGACTTAAAACATAATAAGGTCATTTGTTTACCTTTGTGTAACTTGGATGATTATCTTGTATAATGTATTTTGAACATATTAGTTGAACACTATTTAATCTGACTAAAGAAGAAACCTGGAAAATCTTTTAGTCCTTTGTATGAACAAATTATTTGATGTCATGCAGTTATTTTAACCAAAATATCAGAACAATCTGATGACTCTTAAATAAAAAGTTCTCACTATAATAGTTAGAAACCATTGCTCTACCTGTCAAACACAAAAAAATATGAATGTCAACTCAACAAAGTAAGTAAGGTTCCTTTTCTTCAAAAAAAGTAAAATTCTGATGTATTGGGTGAGTGTTTGTTACTTTATGCCTAATAAAGAAAATTTTTTCCTCCATTTTGACTGTATGGATTAAGAGCTGTTCATATAATTGAATCAAACTTATTTCTTTCATGTCATTCTTAATGTCATAGTGTCCATCATTCATATTATGTACAAGTTTCAATCCTAATAGATGAATCCACATTTTGTTTTTATTTCACATCACTTGGCAGCCATATTTGAGGGAAACTCAAAATTCTCTGTCCATGTTAATTTCTTGTGTATACCTTTATCATTTGACATAACTCATTTGCTTTGATTGCCTAAATTAGAGCTATTCATACATAGAAAGAGAACAAAAAATGAATACAGTGAATTTATTGCAATAATACCTGCATGTTTGATACATAAAGAGAAATATTTTTTTCATTACTTTTTGACCTTTGGATTGACCCTGAATAGAGATAAGGTTTACATTTTGTCAAGTGTAAACTATATACTGCATGACTAAACATGGTTTGTATATTTCAATATGAAATAGTTTCTTTAATGCTTAAATCAAAATATTTCAACTATCCTAGTGAGAATTATGCTCAATTACCCTCTTTAGGAAGAGGACTCAAATAGGCTTTGCCTGCTGCCCAATTCTATTCACATATGTATAAAAAAATTTGTATAAATTAATTAACTTTGTGAAATATTCCCAACTTCCAATGCTTTTTAATTTACATTAAAAAAACTGACTCAAATAAAATTGTTTTCTCATTTATTTTACAAGAAATAACATGCTGACAGTGAATCTATTTATTTTTTTTAAAAAAAAAACTGGTTAAACTAATGATTACAATCGTCTTACAATGTTCATATGTAAGTTTATTTCATAAACCAATACCTTAAATGTATAGACTGAAATTACTTATGGATTAACCCCTTTGTAGTAAAAACATTTTTTAAACCTGATTTTCTTGTTTATTCTCTCATATATTTCCTAATTTGAGTATTAGCAAATTATTGATTACATAAGCAAACAAATTTAAGACAAAACTACAATATATGCTGAAAACCCTGAAATGAAATGGTTACATATGTAAGATGTGTAACACATCATGTACAACTTTTAAGTTTACAAGATTTTAAGCTACCCATATTATACAATTAGACTACTTTTTCAAAGTTATGAGAAATTCTTTACAAAAATATAAATGCAAAAGATAAATGTTAGGGTACACTTTTAAAATACATTTTACATGAATCACATAAAGAACATTACAAATCATTTCTTTGTGTTTGTTTTCCTTTGGAACATCTGTGAACAAACATTCTGTTTTGTCTTTCTGATACATGAAAAGCGTCCAAAAATCATTTGAAATTGTTGTGTTAAACCCTGATATAATAATTTTAAGAGTTTCTGGTGTGTGCCCTACTTAGAAATGTTTACAATGTAACAAAGATGAAACTCATAATTTGATTTAATCAGCAATGATAAAGTCATCAGGTTTACACATGCTTTTCTGACACATCATGAACATTTTTTCTACTATTATATCTTTGTTCACAAAAAAAAAAATGAAATCAACAGTACTTAGCATTCCATATAAAGAAATATAAACCCTAGCTATTAAAAAATTTTAAAATATATTTGTGCATCAATGCATTATCTTTAACAAATCAATCTCTTTCACTGTGATGAAAATTGTCTTCTTCATATAACATGCAGACAAAGAACTTCTTTGGATGATGTCATTTTCACATGTAGAAAAGAAACCGAATGCAACTAAAACTAAAAGACAGTCATTAAAATTTTAAGGACATTAAAGGATGATATCAAGACCGAAGTCCAGGAATTGATAAAATTATATAATTATCATCCAAAGATGTATGTGTTTGGATTTATTTTTTAAATTCACAAGCAAATGATATGCTGCCATTTAATCTTTCAAACTTAAAAAAGTTCTATACTTTTGAATTAAAAATTTCAAAATCTAGAGGAGTCTTCCCAATACCTATCTATTTATGACTGAAGGTATGTAAATCACCAGAGTTGCTGTACTGCACCATTTGAATAAAAGTCATATCCACAGTCTTGACTTTTTAATCATTTATACACCCTTGTTATCATTTCAAATTGTTAAAGTTACCAACTGAAAATATAATCCAGGAGAAATATGATCCAAAAATCTATAGAAAATCTCTGAACCTTATTTCAAAACATAAATTATTCCAACCAGTCTTTATCTATGCAGTGATAATAAAATTTTAACAGACTTCTAAGGTATTACATAGTAATAATCATTTATACACCCTTGAACATGTACATTTGACTTGAACATAGTGCATATGATTTACCAAAGAATATGCCTGTAAAGTCTCTAGGTTATCACAAATTGTTAAAGTTACAACAACTGAAAATAAAACCCATGAAAAAAAAATGATCCAAAAATCTATAGAAAATCTCTGAATCTTTCTTTACTTATGATGTGAAGTTTGTATGTTACAAATTATTTTCAAAGGTAGTTATCTCTGAATCAATAATCTCATGTTTTGACCCTGATGAAGTGTCCTAGAAAACTAAGTGCATTACTCTAACCTGTTCTGTGAAGTAAGCATGAAGTCTATGGGATGATAAAAAATATTCAAGATATTATTACATCACAGATTAGGGGATACTTGCATCTTTAGGGGGTCCTATTGAGACCTATTAAATTCAAAATAGGATACACATACACAAACAAAATGTATTTACAATTCCATGAAAGTAATAATTACAGCAAAGCTAGCTTCTAAAACATCTGTCTAATTTGTTAGGGGTTATAGAAATAAGATGAAAAATAAAAGGTTTAAATGTATACTTCTCTTACATAACAACTGTCTTCAATATGAGTTAGTAAAAATAAATACATATATAATAAATAATATATATAATAATATATATATATAATATATATATATATAATAAAAAAAATAAATATAGATACTTTGAAGTTGGTGAGAATAAATTCATGTTATCAGAAAATCATGTTCTCAATACTTGATTTGACTAGATCTCAGTTTGATAAATGGCTACATCTTATCCATAGTCAGTGTCTGACAGTAAAAGATACTATCCTGGGTCCTTTCTTTGTCATCCTGTAAAGCACAGTCTATGATCGTACTTAAATTGGTTGGAAATCATATTTATCTATGTGCTTCTTAAATCCTCCATCCTGTTTGATTTTCTTGTTTCAGTGTTTTAAGAGAGGATATTCTGTTAGTCTTTGCATAATCTGATAGTCTTTCACCATGCTTCTTAAATCCTCCATCCACCTCCTGTTTGATTTTCTTGTTTCAGTGTTCCAAGAGAGGATATCCTGTTAGTCTTTGCATAATCTGATAGTCTTTCACCATTCTGAGAGTAGACATAGATCATTTCCATAAGCCCTCACTAGAATATCCTGGAAAATAAAAATAATGTCTTAGTTGAAAAAAAAAATTGTTATGTAATATAAGCTTGATGGAATTCTAAATATAGACAAAAAAGGGTATAAATACAAGGTGTAACATCAGATTTTGACTTTTCATATTAACCATGGGTAACACCTCCAGTAAAGAAAAGAGTAAAGGAATGTGTGAAATTCAGTTTGAAAGAGAGTTCTTTCAGAGAAAGATGTAGACAGAGGTATACCAGTTAAAATAAAAAAAAGATAGCATTATTGAGATCATTTCTCAAGAAGAATATAACCAATTATGTCCAGAAAAGGGTGATCCTAATGTTGTCAGAGATTACATAGAAAGATCCTTGATTGCAGAAGAAGCTAATGAAGAATATAACCATTTATTACCAAAAGAAGGTAAGAATTACTATTACAAAATTATGTATTCTGATAAGAAAGTTTTCACTTTCATTTGTTGTGCTTTTGACCATTTTAATTGACCTTATGGTCAAGATTGTGATATATACACTCTGATAATCATTTATGATGCCTCCATGATGTTTACCTCAAAAGTTTGAATCAGGGTATTTGTGTTCAAAGAGCTGAAGAAACTATACAGACAGATATATAATGATTTTGGAAGCATGCATATTAATTAGGGTAAAGGAGATATAACACTAGATTATTAAAAGAAAAAGAACACAAACTCATAGAAATGATATTGAAAGTACCTTAAATGAATAAAGTGTCATGCTCCAAGGTATTATTTTTATAAACAGGAGAAGGGTTACAACAGTCCCATGCACTCATAAGAAGATCTTGGGTAATAGAAACACCAGGAAATTTTAATTCCAAACAATCAGGTCATCTTACATCAGTTATAAGGTTACAGACTTTATACATAGTCATAAGGGTCATTAAGATTTCTTTTCTGGTCATCCTAATGAACCACATTATAGTATTCTTTTCCTGTGATATAATGTTAATATTAAATGGAAAATTCAGAATTCACCAGCAATTGAAGTGAAAACTTGCTATCTTTATCAACTATGCTATTAAGGAAACTGGGGTTAACAAATTAGTCATATTTAACTTATTCTATAGATAAGCTATCTTTAGCTGTTAACTATCATTTGACACAGAAAAACTTCATACATTTTAGTTTTAAAATTTGATCATGAATTTTTATGCCTTTTCTTGTGAAGGATATCAATATGGTTTAAACATGACCATGACCACCAAGCCCTCTTTATTTAAATATATCATTTATTTATCAATTCAAAAATATAAACATGCATATGTAACCAAAAAAAATAAATAAATAAATAAAAGTTACAATTGTATCTCATTGAAACTTTACCTTCAAGTTTGTGTGTTTCTATGTTGATTGACTAACTGTGTATTTCCAAAGGAAGAGCAGCCAGGCTTCACTTCATAGAGAATGGATTATAGATGGTTAGGAACAAAACATATCTTCCAGGTTGAGGACTGTATAGAAAAATAAATTCCATTTTTGTTATTATGATTTAAATTACATGAGACAATGCCTCTTATAAATGTAATGCAAAATAATATCTCTTATATATGGATACCTATACTCTTATCATATTAAATGTCATTTGTCAAATGTATTTTTTAAGACAGATTTATTTGAGGAGCGACTTTAAATGATGACATGAATAGCAGGCCATACTTTAAGCACATGACAAAAACATTCTCTCAAATTACACAGAAATGGGTTATTTAGCATAGCTAACATTAAACATATAGGTGAGTGATAACATAATCACAATCATAAACAATGTGAAACAACTTTAAAAGACCTACACTGTGGATTACAAGCCTTTTTCTCTGGGGTAAAATCTTGCCGAAATTCGTCATGGCCGCCCGAAACCCCGAACCCGACTGTATAAAAGATGAAGTCATACATTCCATGTTGATGACTGTAGAAATAAAAGCATTTTTTTGATATGACAGAGTACTGCATGAAACAATGCATGTTTAAATACAACATGTACAATGTCAAAAAAAGATCATGAAAATATTTGTGTTTAGACTCAAAACAAATTGTTTTTAACATTAACTCGAGATGAGAAAAGTTCATCATGTTATTTATAGTTAATAAACAAGCACAACTAATGTATTAATATCACAAAATAAAATGATTATCAAATTAATTATTTAGACACTAAAAGACCTTTTATTAACAGCAGATTCAGTTTTGGTTTAATAGCTATCAGTAATGCATACAGAAAAATACATTTTTATTTTTTTTTTTTTTACATCATCACAGTACAACATGTAGTCCTTCATTTTTTTTTTGAAAAGCTTAAGAAACAAAAGTGAAAATGAAAATATATGTATAGCATATATCACACATATTTAGAATCAAAACAAAAAGTAAATGACTTAGAATTAATCTTTTGTAAATTCCTCCTTTTCTCTTATTAGATTCCTAATTAATATCTCTTTGATCACCATTTAGTAAGTCTGAATTCCATGGGTAACATACATAATGAATTATGAAATTATATCATGATTTATATGAATGTAAGTTAATAGAGACAACATATTACATACATGTAAGTATTATACAGTCATTAAATTAACCATATAATCATGCTTAAATGCAAAGATGACCTTCATAGGGAATGTAAACAATTAAAAAAAAAACAAGACAAACTTACCAGAGATATCCAAATATATGCCCAATAAGCCTATCCATTAAATAATCCAGTGATTGATTACATCTCAGCTGATCCTGAAAAAATCATACAATTCAGTGATACACAATTAACCTCATTTAACAATGTAAGTAAAGCAAAGTAATTTACAGACAAAAGGGATAGAAATGTTAAAGATACCATGTATTTTACCAAAATTTAGTGAACATTTTTCTGATTGAAATTCAATCATAGAATGACCCATCATAGAATTATTAAATGCACTCTGAGTTACATGCAGGCTAAACAACTGTAAATCACATGAAATGAGGATAAATATAGTATTTACATTCAAAACAGAACTTTACATAATCATGGTTAAATACAAAGATGACCTTCATATAGGAAATGTAAACAAAAATAAGACAAACTTACCTGTAGAATATGTCTGTCAGAAAGGAGATTTCAAAAATGAACACGCTCTCAACATTCACATGACAAGAATGCATCAGGATGTTTACTTCCGTGGTCATGGAGAAATTGAGCTTTATACAAGGAAAGCTTCATAACATAACAATCATCAAAGTAAAAGAGAGGAAAAACAAAAGATAGTCTTACATTTTTTGAAAATCTAAGTTGACTTCTTAGAAACAAAAGTGAAAATGAAACTTTAATTTTACAAGTGTATGAGGTCATAATGCATAGGGTAGCTCGCTGACATGGATGACGTCACAATGCATAGGTAAGCATATTTTTTTTTTTTTGCACACGGCCCTTAACAAACTTGGCTCGCTGCCAAGTATTACCTGTGTAGTCAGCATATTTTTTTTTTTTGCACACGGTCCCTGACTTGAATCGCGGCCAAGTATTTACCTGTGTAGTCAGCATATTTTTTGCACACGGCCCTAAAATAATCCTATAGTATATAAAACAAAACTGGGAGTATCCTTCGCTCATTATATCCATCATGTTTTCCCTGTGGAGATTTGTGTATTGGATTGATGTAGAAAATACAAGTTGTCATTACTGTGATCAGAATACGATGAATTATAAAACATTGACAGTGTATAACCCCTGTCCGGAATGGAATTGGAAAAAGTACAGGATTTGCCAGCATTGTGAAATGCCATTTCCACACTGGTTTCACGATGATGAGCCTTCCATGGAGACTTGTGCCTGTAGCTGGTGCATTAAATATTTCATCTGGAAGAAGGGAATTGAGAACATACCGCCTCCCCGATGGATGAAAATGACTAGGAACAGACCGTTGAAAGAATGTATGATGTGCTACCAGGAAAAGACTCAAGGAAAATGGAAATGCGAACAATGTCGGCAATATCCGTGTTGTGAGGAATGTGTGAAGAAACTCTTTGAGACGTCCTACCAGAAATGTCCCTTATGCCGATACAGTGGAAATTAAAATCATTTTTGTATTTTTTCATTGTGAATAAAAATTGAAAATCACAATCTGTCTTGTTTGTGTTTTGTTTTCAGTAAAAAAATCCAGGTGGTTCTTGTCTTTCAGTAAAACCAGTTCAAACCGGTTATAGGACTGTCTAGACTGTGAATGCGTGACGTCATAATCACATTCTTGCAATGTTTTTTTGCACACGGCGCATTTTTTACCTGTATAGTCAGCAAAAAAAAAAAAAAAAAAAAAAACGTAGTACCTACGTATAGTGTAAAACACACTCCGTATTTTTAAGGGGATAGGGTTAGGGGTAGGGGTAGGGGGTTAGGGTTAGGGGGTTAGGGCTAGGGGGTTAGGGTTAGGGTTAGGGGGTTAGGGTTAGGGTTAGGGTTAGGGCTAGTTAGGGTTAGGGCTAAGGGATTAGGGCTAAGGGGTTAGGGTTAGGGAGTTAGGGCTAAGGATTAGGGTTAGGGGTAGGGTTAGGGTTAGGGTTAGGGGGCTAGGGTTAGGGTTAGGGGTTAGGGTTAGGGGGTTAGGGTTAGGGTTAGGGCTAGGGTTAGGGGGTTAGGGTTAGGGCTACCACTCAGTTGACCCATTTATCCCCTCCACCAATCAAATCTGATCACGTGATTTCTCTCAGCCAATCAGAATCCTCCCCTATCTAGGCTGCTTATACTACTTATACTCAAACTTACAGCTGCACCCCCACTCCCATCCCCTAAAATAAAATGAAAAAAAACAACAACATGCAATTGATTTACAATTTTCAAAAAAATAAAAATCAAACAACATAAATAAACATTTCAGTTTAATAATTATTTCTCACATTTAAAATGAGATCGCTAATTAAAAAAGACGAAAACTATGACTGTTACTTAATGTATAGAAATTCACCATGACGAATGCAATGTTCATAAAAGATCCTTTTGCCTTAAAGCTGAACAGTACTCATAAACATAAGTAATCAGAGATTACATAGCTCAATTCAAAAAATGATTACTTCAAGTAAGAAACGGTCTCACATTTAACTAATAATCAAGAAGTTAATTTAAGGTTTGCAGTAACTTGAGAATAGACATCCAAATACTTGCAACTAGTTGCCCATCAAGAAAATCACTCTCTACCATCGGCTCATACATTCACCTCTGTCATTGGCTCGCGTATACACAGTTTTAAACACGAGAAATAGTGCGTTTGTTTTAATTCATTACAATTCAATTTCTATGTTTATGTCTGAATTTTGAGATAAATATTTACTAAATCAATCCAGAACTATTGATTTGAATTGAAACAATTCTTCAAATATCAAGTTTTATACGTTATGTCAAATATCTTGACGTGAGCCCATTGCAGAGGTGTCTGAGAGAGGAACGAACGACAACTCTGCATGGGAGATTGCAAGAAAATGTCATTCAATCCACGACCCCTGAAAATGTTATCTTTTTAAGATCAACTATCAAAAATCGATTCATCTTCTTTTTCTGAAAAGTAAGTCAGGTCCTAAATGTCGCCGTCTGGAGCAGACAATGGCAAGAATGAATCGGGATTGTGCTTGTTCTTCTGAAAAGTCTTTCATTCATACTTCATGTATACCTGTCAAAAAAAAATACAGTAAAATATATTTCTAAATGGTAGGATTTCATTTGTCATACCGGCATACGCCGAATGCGCCGCTTGACCTTTCGTAACCCAGCTTGTTACTTCATTTGACCGGGGAAGGTTCGCCGGCGTACGCCGAATGCGCCGGTCTGAAATGACCGGCGAGGAGATCGCCGGTCTTAGAAATATGGCGGGAAGAGAAAACAACTGAAAATGCAGATACTTTTTAACAGATCGACATGTTCTTTGTTTGTTTGCATAATTTGAGCAAATCTGTATTCATATAATTAAAATATGTTTTTATTTTCTGAAAAATAAAATTTTTCATGAGGTCCATGATTTTATTTTAAATTGAATTTCGAATTATTCTAACTAAGATATAATGTAAAAAATGATAAAACTTAATTAATTGATTATCATTAACGTAATTATTCATTTTTAATAAATGTTTTCGCCGGTTTACTTCATTTGCCTCTTAGCCGTTCTACGCCGGTCATATGACCGGCGCAATTCGGCGTATGTCGATCAGCGACAAATGAAACTGGCCCAATGATAATGTTCAATTTTTTTTTACAGGTTATGTTTTAATTTATTGTAAAATAATATTGTTGTCTTGATTTTATGGGCACTTATAACATGTACTAACCATCAATCTGGATGTCTTTGATAGTTGCTTTCCTTAAATTTGTGAACTATATTCAGATCACAAATTGTGTGTTCAAGTCATAGGTTTGTTCTTTCAACTTTATGAATGTCCGACGCCTGCTGGTGTTGCTGCAAAAATAGAGCGGCCTAGATCATCAAAGTTCCACTGATGTTCACTTTCAGTATCTGAACTCTACAAAGGAATACAGAAGCAAATGTTTATTTATATCACATACAAAAATTCCGAGTTACTAATTAAAATTCATCGAAATTTATTTAAAGCATAGTTGTCATGTACTGTGAACTACTTTCTTATATTGGTAAAAGGTGAAAAAGTACAGTCAAACTTGTTTTAAGCTTTGGGAAGTCCAGAAACTAGCCACTTAAGACAGGTGGCCTCTTATTCCAGTTTGCCCAAGAAGTAGCCAGTCAGTCAATAAATAAACAGCAATAACCACTACAGTTGATTTAATTAAACATGTCAATTTCACAAAACTTTTGTATGTGTGTATATATATATTAATCCATGCCTATTTAAAAAAATATGAAATTAAAGAATTCCAAATTAAATTTTTAAGGTTTTGTTCATAAGTGTTCAGAGTTCCAGAAACGCACCGGTCCACCGGGGATCCCCGGTGAACTTTGAATGGGACCGGTAAAATCTTTATTTTATTGGTCAAAATGTCCGATGTTTTTTTTTGTTTTTTTTTACAGACTGTATAACCTTTACATATAATCTTAACAAAATCATTTTATTCAATTGTCCTGACAATAAACAAATGCAAAACTAAAGGAATGAAAAAAAAAAACGTCAGGGCATCGCCAGAACTTGTTTAAATAAAATGTAGACGTTGATTGTCTACTATAAAAAGCTACATATTAAAATAATAATTTCCATAAGTCTGGGAGGAAAAACAGTTTTAAAAACCCTGTCAACAAATATTTTCCATGATAAATATATACACTCTGTAGTTCTGACAGTAAAAAAAATGTGACAATCTACTTTCGTTTTGAATGACGAATTTGCAGGGTTGCAAGAGTGCCTGCTATTTCTGCTTGATTACAGACAATTTGTTACCATTTATTATTTTCTCTATAATTTAATCTATTAGCATGGTAATATTATACCAACTTCTGGATTTTTTAAAAATGTATTTGATAGCATTTAAAATACAAGCGCGTTTTTCCCCTTTTCTAAAAATAGCGGATTGACTTGAATGTAGTAAAACGACAACAAATTCACTTAAAATCATCATTTTCATGATAAATTTGCATATCTTTATATCATTAGTACATATTTTTAACTGTATGGAGGTTGTATAATAAATTTTAACTAGTCAGAAATATCGGACGTTTTACCAGGCTTTTTAAAACGAGTTTGATATTTTACGTAATATTTTGCCTGGCACATAAAATACAAAAATCCAAAAGAAAAAAGCCTGGAAAACAACATATTTTCCAAACAATCAACCAAGAGTTGTCGTGTTGCAGATTTTATTTTTAAAAACATTTTAAAAATCTGTCAGAAAGGACATAATAAATTTATACATGAATTAAGCGTTGGTCATCACACGCCTTCGGCGACGTCAAATCCTGCATACAAAGGCCATATACAAAATATTTCAATATTTTTTTTTTAAATCTGCCATCTTTTTATTTACACATATCATTTATTATATCGTTACAATTTCCAATCCTATAATATGTTAAATTTACATACAAAAAATTAATGTCCGGTAAATTTTACAACTGTCCGGTGAATTTTGAATATTTACAAGACAATTGTCGGACATATTTTTGACTAGTTTCGGGAACTCTGAGTGTTCCTTTATAACATTCAAATCATTCAAGATGAAATACATGTGCCTTACTACTATCAGGGACCTATATACTAAGTATACTTAGTATATAGGTCCCTGCTACTATCTATTTTTTAAATAAGAAAAAATATAAAAGCTTTAATTAAAAGAGAGTTTAATGGTGAATTAAATAAAGTATAAAAATTTATTTCAGTAAGTGTCAATAAAATTCATTTAAAAACTTCACTATAATATGTTAAGGTAATGATCAGCAGTGTAACACCCCCCCCCCCCTTTCAATTAATCCTCGATCAACTACTTTGCTGAAGTTTTTAAAGTCTGGTAATTTTTTAATATTATTTTTATAAAGCTGTCAGAATTTCTATCTAACATACAGACACACACAAAAAATTATTCAATTGACCAAAGATTTGTATTAACGCAGTTTAAAATCATTCTACTACAACACAGGTGTCAAGTGCACCAGAGCGTAACTAATCCCTATCGATCGTCTCCTGATGGTGAAATTCACGAGATAATCATGCTAGTATACAAATCATTTGTTTTGACAAGAGTTGCAATTAGAGCTTCTACACGGAATCAAAATCTAACAGGTGTGAAAATACTGATAGACCGGTATTAGCTAAGTTACATACTCTCACTGTAAATATTCAAAGTAATGATGAATTAATATTGTAAATTACAAAATGAAGCTTTAAGCTTGAATTTCTTTAAGTTTAGCTATAGAAAAACTATTAATTGTGATTTAATTCTTTTAAATTTTCAATGGTCGATCTTGAAAAATAAGTACAAATTGATCTTACAGGACAATTATATTTTTTCCATTAACACAAAGAGAGTTATATAAACGTATCTAAAGGTAATTTGTTTAATTTCTTTAATAGGTGAATTTTTTTATCCGGCAAATAATTACACAAGCGACTGTGTAAGCAATGTGACATATTGGGTATTTAAACAACTGATTAAAATGTCCTACATTGATTGTCATTTATCAAATTGATATACCACTAAATTTTACAACCTAATTATACAACCCCATGTTGATTCCTTCGAAGCCTACTTGCTGCGAAAATTTATTGCAGTGACATTAATTCCATTTTTCCATTCTGATTTTTTCTCTATAGATTAAGGTACGATTTCAAGTACATGTAAACAAATGTGTGAAGAGTAGATAAACAATCGGTACGTATCTAGAATGAATTGAGAGAGAGAGAGAGAGAGAGAGAGAGAGAGAGAGAGAGAGAGCAATTATACTACGAAACAGGATAAAATTAAAGCCAAAAATATTCAATTTGAAAAAAATTTAAACACGGATGATTTAAAAATTAATCGGAAGGGGCGGAAGAGGCGTGAAAAATCCAGAGATGTTGTCTCCCATCGGAAGAATCACATGTATTTATGTTATGAGATATCTGCATGTAATTACCATAGATATAGAGAAAATTCGAATTTAGAAAAAAAAACACGATCGTATTTTGAAGTAAATAAGCCAAGTAGTACTCCAACACGGATTAAATTATGGAGATTTATTGACAGTTGGAGCATGTTATATGGAAAATTTAAAAGGTTTGGATTTTTGTTGCAAAAAACGAGTGAAAATACGTACCAGGTGTGCTTTGCATGTATTGCACGTGTATAAATAATATTATCTTTTTTTACTGGCCAACGGGGCGACCCTCTTGCAGAAAACCACTAGCCCGACCCCCGGGTATCGGTCGATTTTCATTGCAGACCTCTGATTAAAAAAAGAACTATCAGTGCATTCAATCATTATAATTTTTTTCACAAAAGCCCGTTTTCAATCGGTATGTGTTTATGTGGACTACAAGTGTCCTTTCCTTGACTTTAAATAAATTCTACAACTGCATAATGTACGTATGAATCATATCAAACAACTTACAAAGCTTTTTTTCAATGTGGTGCAACAAAATAGTAAGACTTACTGCATTTGCTTTTTGTGTTTCCGAATTTCCTCACTGCTAATACAAAATGTCCACACAGCTACTTCCGTATTCTGCGCATGCGCAGTTAGTTTTAAATATATGCGCATGCTCAGGTATACGGAACTCCTCGATTCAATTACCGAACTCCTCTAAACAGCAGATTTCTGAATGTCTGAGCGTTTTGGGCTAAGGACATGTCCAAAATTTGGACAAAGTCTTTGTGAGGTTAAATCTAATTTTAGTTTTTTCGACCTCATAGAGTAATTTTGAACGTAATTAGACCTCTTCATTATGGGGTTAACCCCACAGTACCCAAAAAACCCCACACTGCTGGAAAATACGTTAATTTTACCCCACAATGTACCTCTCGTAAGAACAGACGGACAGACGGACGGACGCCGGACAAAATGTAATCCGAAAAGCTTACTTGAGCCTTCGGATCAGGTGAGCTACAAAGGAAAATATATGTGATTGTGTTCATAAATCTCAAATACATGTATATTTTTTATGAAACAAAGGGGAAGCGTTCAAGTGTATGACGGTGCGTATCCGTCATATGACGTTATTTAGGTGCGGCGAATACCTCAATTGCACTTTGTATATAATTCCATATTTTAAAAAGTATGAATCATTTTTATTTGAATTTTTCATCACTGATTATAATAAATATAGCATCAATCATGTATAATTTCGTTGATTTACGTCGAATAGTAGCAATTTTATCAGAGTAGTGACATTACTTTAGATCAATCCTCGTATAGTCATGCTCGAGCACAGAAACAAAGTACAGAATTCATAACTAACCAGATGAAGCAAGTTTAAGCAAGTTGTACACAAACTGCTCCAAAAGACTATCAAAGAATAAAACTGACTGAAAAAAGTAAGTTTGACACTTAAAATTTTCAGATAGTAAGTTCTACGGAACTGAAGTTGCATATTTAAACATTTTCCTTAAGGTAATTCCACCCTCCGCCGATGTCATCAGTTTTTGCAAAAAAATATTATCATATTAAATTCATACCTAACAGAAAAAAGAAAAAAATGTATTCAGGAAGAATGATTTCCATACCTGTAATGATAACTATTGTAAAGTAAAAAAAAAAAATAAAAATGCGTATTTCCTTTATTTTTCAATATTTCAAAATTTCTGGCAAGGGCAAGACATCCTGCTCAGGTAGCTCCATTCAGGAATTTTCTTTATTGTACTTCTAATGTAAAATAGTTTCCTGATATTCACAATTCAAAAGTGGCAAGTACCTATGGACTTTCAAAAGCAGAACTATATGTATTTGAATCAGATTTTACATAATATTTATGATACTGTTTAAAAAATGTTTAATTTTATTTTATGGTTGTCATATGCTTCTGTTTATTTATGTTTCTCATCTTAAATAGTATGGAGACCTATACATTTTTTAAATATTTGGCAATTTTAAACTTAAATAAATGAAAATAAATAAAATTTTGTACTTTTTACCAGTAAAATTGTAAGTGTGGACAAACCTTAAGCTGTGTAAGTCTGAAAGACATCTTTGAGAAATAAGAGAGGATAAGATTCTAAACCTTTGACTGTACATCTTTTTTTATTTACCTCTAAAAAGTTATTTTTGTCTTATGCAACAATCACAACCATTTTCATAAAATGTTTCTATTTTTGGTTTCTACTTTTATTTTACCTTTGAAATTAATGTCCTTATATTTTGAAAGGTTTAATTGTTGATATTTTCGCAGAAAACGTATGGTATTTAGCAAAGTGTATCAAATATTTTTGATGCCATCTACCCAAATTATTATAATCTGTATAATTAAATAAGCATCCGTTTTAAATGAAATATTAAAGGAATGTCATTTATGGTGTTGGAAGATTAAAAAAATCGTAATTGTTTAAAAATTTACATGTAAAGAATGGGTGGACTTAACGCCCTATTTTGGATCTTTGTGCGACTCCTCTTACAATCTGTATTCGAAGTGAATACAAAATAAATTTTGTGCAATTGAAAGAGCAACATATACTTGATTATGTTAGGTGGAACATTTGTGCAAAATCAATGCCCTGTTGTCGTGTACCAAAATTGAAGAAACGATACTTGAGTGTCGTCTTCCGGAATTCGACATGTACCCGGAGTGGTGTTTTTTTAACACAATAAATATTTATAGGAGGCGGGGCTATTAATCGGTGTCATTGTTGACATCTTTCTCCCTATCCCTCTCTCTTTCCAAAAATTCGAATACGTGTTTAGCATTTTACAGCGATGTCAATATTAAATTACTTTAAAAATGATGACACGCAAAATTAAAACAATTTTTAATTTGCTTAGCTATGAAAACGGCAACAAAGCTCGCTCAGACATGATTTAGATCGAGGTAAGGGTGAAGAATACAATGTAACTGTTTACATCACGTGACGAATTGTAATATTTAACAGGTCAATCGAAGACATTTCAATGGAAGCGAGAAGTTTGTTTTGAACATGTTTTTTGTTAAATTAAGTATGAGCACACTTTTGTCGGCTCTTCTCCTTTTAATATAACATTTTTTTTTGTCCAATATACAACTACAGTTTTCTTAAGAACAGCCGACAAACATGTGCTGACTATGTATTCAGACGATGAAAAACGCGTGACCCTGATTATCTATTGATATTCAAGAAATCTTCAGGCACCATGCTTTCGATATTTATTAGTTTACCTCGAAAAGAGTGTTTTAAATTCACATCCGTACCACGAATACACAGTTTATATGATGAAAAAAAAATAAACATTTTATGAAACTTAAAGTAATTACGGCATTTTTTCTGGCCAGTTAAGTCCACCCATTCTTTTACAGCATTTACTGAGTCCATTAAAAATATATTTCTCATGGCCTTTCATAAGATAAGAAAAATCTAATGATATTCCTGTTTAGCTTAAATCATGGGGTAAATGTTTCTGTTTTGCTTTAATCGTGGGGTAAAAAATTATTCTTTGTTAAAGTCATGCAATGAATTCAAGTAATCTGCCTTTTCCGTTATATTCTAGTTTGCCACTATAAAGTTATAAACAACACATTTCAAATTAATAAGTTTTAGCATGACAATATCATTAGGAACATTAATTCATTGCAACACGACCGGACCCCAAGATCAAAAATGGAGAACAGACTTAAGTAAGAAATTCAAATCAAAATAACTTTTAAAATCTTTTGGAAAAGAAAATAAAATTTTTACTGTATGTTTAGATAGTTATCCAAACTTGCAAATTCTTGGTAAAGTACATGTATGCCTAATAAATAACAAACTATTCTTTATCAAAATTGTAACTTAAGTCTGTTCTTAGTTTATGGTCTCCATGACCAATCTTGAATCTCAGTATAAAAGGAAAAAGTGCCATAATTCAATCAAAAACCAATAAAGAGAAAAAAAGTTAAGTTAATTTATAGCTAATCTAGTACACTCATATAACATCAAATCAATACTTGCAGGCGTTTACAAAAGAGTGTGGAAAAAGTGAGACAGATTGACATACTAAAGCAAACTAATAAAGCGACTGACTAAGGTTTCATTGCACAATGCTTGCCTCCAAATATTTGGTGAGTATTTATAAGAACAAGAGGCCCAAGGGAAACATTGCTCATCTCAGAAACTACGGGGATGCCGTTCTTTACCACATTTCCGCCCTTGTAATACCTTTTGTTACCTCGCCTACCCCCTTCCAGTCACAATTTTAACAATTTATAATTTACACTACCCAAGGATATTTCCATATAAGTTTAAGTTTTTCCTGCCTAGTGGTTCCTGAGAAGAAGATTGTTTCTATATATTTCTATTTCCAATATATTTCAGTCTCTGTAAAACTTTGATTCCCTATTGTGGCCCCACCCTATCCCTTGAGGTCATGGTTTTAACAATTTAGAATTTACACTACAAAGTATCCAAAGATGCTTCCACATCAGTCTCAGCTTTTCTGGCCCAGTAGTTCTTGAGAGGAAGATTTTTAAATGTTTCCTTTATATTTCTATGTGTAACTTTGTTTCCCTATCGTGGCCCCGCTCAACACCTGGAAGTCATAATTTGAAGCATTTGGAATGTACACTACTCCAGGATGCTATCACATACATTTCAGCATTTAAGGTCCATTGTTTTACTTTGTTTCCCTATTAAGCCCCCATCTTTACCTGTGGGTATTGATCTGCACAATTTTGAATTTACACTATCTCAGAATCCTTTCATATCAGTTTCAGCTTTTCTGACCAAGTGGTTCTTGAGAGGAAGATTGTTTAAGTTTTTTTCCCTATATATTTTTATGTAAAATATTGTTTCCCAATCGTGGCCCCATGCTACCCTTGAGGGTCATGACTTGATGACTTGAACAACTTAGAATCTACACTACCCTAGGATGCTAAGTGTCAGCATTTCTAGTAAAATAGTCCTTGAGAAGATTTTTTAATGACACCAGGCTATTAATATTGTTGCCTTTTCTTGATGATCTCCCCTTGTGAGAAGTATTGGTCCTTCATTTTAACAATTTAAACTTCCCTTCATCTAAGGATGCTTTGTACCAAGAAGGATATGGAAATAACGAACAATATTCAATCTCAACATCCATTAAACAAATATACAAAATAAGAGCAGAGCAAACACGGACCTCCGAAACATCAGAGGTGGGATCAGGTGCCATGGAGGAGTGAGCATCCCCTGCCGACCGGTCACACCCGCCGTGTGCTCGTTGTCATAATCAGGAAATAACGGAAAAAAGATCCGTAGTCAATTCAGTGTATAAATATTGGACTAACAATTGGTATGAAAAACGTCAGTCAGCATTTCATTCAATGATAAATTGTATTTGCTGACAAGGTCATTGTATCGACCATAGAATTCACGAAATGATGACTTTAAACGAGACTGTTGATATTCTTGTTTCACCAACTTGCTTGTCAACCAACTTTGTCTACGTTTGGTATAAATTGGCCCAGTGATTCCTGAGAGGAAGAAAAAAATGTAAAAAGTGAACCGACGGACAGACGGCTAGACAGCTAAAAGGGCGGACGATGTACAAAATGTGATCAAAATAGCTTACTTGATCTTTCGGCTCAGGTGA